TTTAGTCGTCTTAAAACCAAAAGATGAGGGAATTACGAAGGCTTAAAGATAAGAGGTTTATAAGTGAAAACTTGGAAGAGAGTTAGTAAGTAAAGTTTGAGACTAAATTTGACTTGGTATCTTTTAAATTAAGAAATATGAAGTGTTAGAAATGAAATTAGAACATTTTGTAAATTTCGTAAGATTCTTGGGTTCAAGATATAGGATGATATTATGAATATAAGAATGTGTTATATGAATATAAATTGATTTAAGTATCTGTAGTTGAGTTTAGGGATATGAAAGAGATTAAAAAATGAAAGCTCGAGTGTATTCTGGGATAGGAGTATCAGTACATTCATCTAGTACTGATACTTCCAAGGCAAAACAAGTGATATTTGGAGTAGGGGTATCGATACTGGTTGAACAGTATCGATACCATAAGTCAAAAGTGGATAAGCTATTCTAGGGGTATCGATACCTGAAGGGTAGTATCGATACCCAGGGTATCGATACCATTGATCGAGTATCGATACCATTTTTTGAGATAGAATTCCATAACCGGGAAAGAGTATCGATACCAAATCATGGTATCAATACCACAACAAAGGAAGTATCGGTACAATACATTGGGTACCAATACTATTCAAAGAGGAAATTTGAAATAAGTACCTTGTTTAGTTTAGGTTATTAATGAGCAATTTGTAAGGTTTAGAATTCTAACATTCGTACCAAATATACAATTGTGTAGATATCAAGCATAAGCCAGTTCTAGAACGATCAAAGAGTTAGGAATGATTGAGAGAGATATAAAGTAATAGGCGTTAACTGGACTAAGTGAGGCTAAGGTGAGTGCATACAATAGTTAGTATAGATGTTGTTTTATGGATATAAGACTTGTGATAAGTCTATTTCCTATATTTGATTCCATGATTCCCTCACTACAGCAAAACTGGCTTTTTGCGGCGTTTTTTTACCTATAGCGGCGTTTTTAAGCGCCGCAAAAAACACATGCGGCGTTATGAAAAACGCCGCAAAATGCGCCGCTGAAAATAGCGCCGGTAAAGTACGACGTTTGTTAACCAAAAACGCCACAATAGGTACTGATATTTAGCGGCGTTTTTCTTAAACACGCCGCAATAGCTGTCAATATTTAGCGTGTTTTTATCACAAACGTCGCAATAAGTGTTGATATTTCGTGGCATTTTTTTTATAAAAACATCGCAATAAGTATGGTATTTAGCGGCGTTTTTAGGATACAAACGCCACAAAAGATTGAGTTATATAGCGACATTTAAAAGAACAAACACCGCTAATTCTCTTGTTTTTAGTGGCATTTTTTGCCACAAACACCGCTAATTCTCTTGTTTTTAGTGGTGTTTTTTTGCCAAACGCTGTTATTTCTCTTGTTTTTAGTGGCTTTTTGGCCACAAACGCCGCTAATTCTCTTATCTTTAGTGGCGTTTTGCCACAAACGACGCTAATTTTGTTGTTTTTAGTGGAGTTTGTAATACAAAACGCCGCTATATATTATGATTTGTTGTGGCATTTTTACGAAAAACGCCGCTATTTGCAAAAGGTTGGCATAGGCAAGTTTGATTGGGTTACTATTCGTTAAACCAGTAAATTGTTGATAATCACTATCTTAATCCTTAAACTTCCATTAATGGTAATATAATATTATTAAAGAAACATTCTTTTCGAAGCTAGAGAATATGAAGGTAAGTAATTTATTAAAGAAAATAATTTATCATCATTCATCGTACATAATATCTTTAAAAAATATTAAGTTCAAAGCAAACAAACTAAACTTTCATAGCTTTGAAGAATATCTTTTCACTCCTTGATCCCCAAAGCTTGAAGCAACCTGAAGTATACAAGAGAAGAATGTTAAGTACCTGATAGGGTATCAAGTGGTGCACATAGCATTGCATAACTTGGAACTAGATCTTACCAAGTTCAAGGATTGGTGGAGCAAATTTCAAAGCTTGAAATGCCACCTGATATTAATTAATGAAAAATTAGAATCTTGAGAGCAAACATAACTTGGTAAAGAAGAGGGCAAAGTGACCCAAATTCAGTAAGATTTTCTAATTGTTGATGTGCCATTGGTCCATTGCGTTAATTTACTTTATGCAAATAAAATATAGGAACTTGACTATACATATAGAGAATATGTGGAAATGAATCATGATGAATCCTAAACAACGCGACTTCTGTTGGATGATAGTAAATAGTGTTTAAGGGATATAACTTACTTCTGAGTAAGCCATTTCTTGACGTGAGAAAATGCAGTATACTACGATAGTAGACATTAGTGGCCAGTTTTTAAAGAGATTTGGTTTGTGAATCTGCCCGTCTTCAAGTTCTACCACATTGTCTTTCCAACCAGATCAATTTGAAGAAAGTTCTGGAATGTCATATGGATCAACTGTCTCATTTCCCTTTCCAGCATGCTTGTGTAATGTTTCCTACATAAAATTTCATCACAAAAAAGGAGGGAGAAATAAAATATAGAGATGTTATTTTTTTGTGATAAACCGCTAATATAAGAAGCATGTCCCACAAAATGATTAAACTTGTCTCGATGCAAAATGCAATCTTTTTTTTTTGAGAGAATCAATCATAATATGAAAACTGCAGGCAAATGGGTGCATATAAACCAGTAAACAACCATTAAATGAAAGGAAAAAAACATATTGAAGACTGAAAGAAATAGAAATTCAACTTAATCTTATTGCTCAGCTATGCTGCTCAGTTTTAGGGGTGAGTGACGAATAATTGTTTCAGTAATACTCAAATACCCAAAGTTTAAAACTGTAAGTCTTAATTGATCATGAATCAGAGTAGACAAGTAGTACCTGATAGGTTGATACCATTTCTTGAAAGTAACAAGAAAATAAAATATGACAAAATGAGTTTGAAACTTACAGAAATCCATTTGCAGGAAATAAGAACTCCAACAGAATAAACTGATATTATGAGGCATGGTAAGAGTAGGGAAATCTACAATTGTGTCCACATCAAAACACCACCACATAAAGAGAAAAGATAATAAATAAAGATAAAAAAATGCAATCCAGACTACCTCCCAAAGATGGAGCTTTTCGAGAATAGATTCGGGTATTTCTCTATCGGGCATTTCTCTACAGGCTATGAGGCCATACATGAATTAATAAATATGGTTAGCAGGCAAGAAAATTTTCTTTAACATGTGTAAAGAGTGGGACAATGGAACGTCTCTACCATGTGCAATGAATCCACCAATGGCAGGCCCAATAATCAGTCCTATGCCTCGAGATGTACTAACCTGAAATTTGAAGTCTGATATAAATATGATACTGCAGAATCCAGATGATGTCTTCCTCTCTTTTTGCAATATGAAAGTCTCGGATCTGCCAACCAAAAAACCCATAGACGTAATGTCGCTTTTGGTTTCCACAGTAGCATCTTTAATTATAGAAAACTAACGATAAAAACAGACTTTTCCAGTTATTCAAAGCCAGAAAACATACAGTAAAGGGAATAGTGATTCTTTTGCAAAGCTGAAAAATGTAAATATAATAAGAATGCAAGTGTTAAAACTCACAGACAACCAAAAAAAACCAACAGGATCAAAAAAGCTAACCATAAGACAGTCCTAAGAAGAGTTCAAGATACAAAAAAGCAAAGTATAGGAAGCTAAAATGATTTGATTATTTCCATTCAGAGACAACCCAAAAGCAATAATCAGTAACACTAAAATCTTACATTGAATGATTGTCCAAAAAAATTACAGCATCAATAAAAGGGTAGTCCCATAGATTTTCCTAAAAATCAAAGAACCGAAAAGATTTCAGAAAGAGACGATGACTTTCAGAGTATTGCTCCTGGCCATTTCAAAGATTCCAAGTCATTACCAGAGTCGTCTAACCGACGCTCATAAAATGAACTTGAAATGCCTTCTTTACAATAGATCCCTATATTAGTCAAAAGATGGCAGACACCCTACATTACATGACAATGTTAGTGCCATAAATATAATCTATGCTTAAACAAAAGCCCATCATACTCTACATTCAACCTTCCGTTTACACCTAAAGTGAATCAAAATTAACTGAAAAAAATTATAGATACTTAAAAGAAAAGCACAAAACAAGGGCTTCTAACATTTAAGTATAACATAAGTGAGGAATGTAACTAAATTCCACTTGAACATCAGCAGTAGAATGTTAATTAAATTCCACTTGAACAGCAGCAGTAGAATGTTGATTAAATTCCCAACCGTTCAATTCTTTACTAAGAATATGCATCCAACTATCAATATCAAGATATGGAATGATAGGTATGTACTTCATTTCATTTGACCAGTAGTGAATATAATGTTAATTAAATTACCAAATTCTTCTATAAACATATGCATCCAAACATCAATATCAGGGTAAAGAACGGCATATTTATACTTCAATTCAATGTCCAACATGAAGCCCATATGGTGATGATACCAACAATAATGCTCTATCTCTATAATGATTCTTGCCCATAATTTAATGTACATCTTAAGCATAGCAAACAAACGATAATTCCAACAAAAGCATATAATTACAATTCAATACATGATATTTATAGTTTACGATGCAATAAAGAAATACCTCAAAAGTCAGGAGGTTGAAAGCATGTATTTAACGGCGAAGAAACATCCCCAGGTTACTTTTTGGGTCCAAAATAACCTGATCATCGTCCATAACTCCTGAATCAACCCCTCCAAGTGTTTCTACCAAAAAAACAATAATGACAGGGAAATGAAGATGCTAAAGTGAGTAAAACAACAAACAAATAAATAAAAGCTAACCTCGCAACTCATTAAAGAAATTGAACAGATCATCAGGCGATGATAAAGATGATAATCGACTAGTTACATGATCAGTTAACCAATCATCCATTAAACCACCAATCTCTCTCAATTAGATAACGAGCTGATCTAATTTCAACTCCAACATGTCATCACATGACTGCAATACGCAAACACTCATCAATTTTAGTCATAGAAAAATGATTACCAGAATAAGTCCAATAATGTTTTTAGGGTGCTCATAATAAACTGGAACTCTGCTATGCCCTTTCTCCAAAATTAAACTCATCAATTCCCTGCCCATAACAAGCATGTAATGGTAGTTTATAAAATCAAATGAAAGTTGAAGTAGATATTCAAATGCCATCTTTCTTGGTAATTTACAGAAAACCATACCTGTCAAGCTTGGCATTAATATCAATTGCAAATGTTTCAGATATGGGAGTCATGGCATCTTTAGCTTTTTTCTCAGTGAGCTCAAGTGCTCCAGCTATAATTGTTGTCTCATCATGGGTCAGCTCTCCACCTTTTCCAGCCTAATAAAGGTCCAACAAAAGGATCGTAAATCTAAAAGTTATGATGAATGAAAGAAGCATTGCACTTCAAAGGAAAAGACACATCAAGAATTTTACAATTCAAAATGAGAGAAGTTAGAAAGTACAACAGTGATTAATTAATGGTCAAAAACAAATATTGATTTGATAAACAAAATCAACCAAAATAATAACTAGTTATAGAAACAAGCAAATTAAACAACTATAGGGAAAAGCTTGGATGCAAACCTCGTTTCCATGCAAATCTACTAGGGTTTTCAACTCGGCTCTTCGAAAAAGTGCTATATGTCCATGACCCAACAGAAAGTCTAACAGCTGAAAAAAAAACATAGAAGGTCAGCCACAAGAGCAATCTGCAGGAATTACATGCTTGGTTGTCTTTCTCACTGTCATAAAAGCATTACTAGCAACGTTCATCACCTTGCTTATTGGGTAGGCAACAGGAAAACATATCCAAACAAGAACTCGAACGAATGGAGCAACCTTTACACCAATTGCCAAACCATATCGAGAATAAACAGATTGTGGTATTATCTGCACAAACAGTTAAATTGCAATTAGGATTTAGGGCATTCAAAGAACTTGATTCCTTTTTTAGCAGCTATAAGTAATTTCACTTTCTAAGAGCAAGTCTAAAGCCATAATGGTCGGAAAATAATTTTATAAACCAACGGTTGCAACCTTCTGGGAAAAAGCTGCTCAGCCAAAAGTTTAACAAATAATATCCGAGTAACATATCAAAATTTTCATATCACAACTAATCAGTGTTTAACAAGGATTTCTAGCTCTACCGAGTTAAAAACGCTTCAAATAAAATAAGCCAAGGTGGATACTCACCTCACCGAACAAAAGAATCAAGGTCACTGAAATCATGATAGCACCCCAAGCTGTGCTGAGAAATGGAGGAGAAAGGGAAAGAGACGGAGATTTGAAAAGGAGAAGCATAACTATGAACCAAAATGCACACTGAAACTTTATGTGGAGTTATGGAAAAGGCACCCGGTGCTCTCACTGCCCCTGCCATTTCTAATAGACTTCCACAAAATCTATGATGTTGCCTGAGATACCAATCCATATTGCTCAAAATCAGCAACGTATTCTGAAAAACGCTCCTGACCATTCCAGCAAAACATGGTTAGAAACCAAATAACCAAAACTAGTCTAAAGTCGAGAGGGAGGAGAGAAGATGAAACATTTTATTTTTTTAGAAAGGGGAGCGGGAATGGAAAAATAGGTGAAGGGGAAAATGAAATAAGGTTAAAGAGGCACGGATTTAGCAACTTTAAACTTGCGGCGTTTTAAAAAATAAACGCCACTAAAGTACAAGTCTAGCGGTGTTTGTATAAAAACGCCACTAATGTACGAGTCTATAGTGGCGTTTGTATAAAAACGCCACTAATGTACGAGTCTATAGCGGCGTTTGTATAAAAAACCACTAAAGTACAAGCCTATAGCGGCGTTTGTAAACACAAACGCCACAAAATTACGAGTCTATAGCGGCGTTTGTATAAAACCGCCACTAAAGTTCGAGTCTATAGCGATGTTTGTATAAAAACGCCACTAAAGTACTACTATATCACGACGTTTTGTATAAAAACACCGCTAAAGTTGAGTCTATAGCGGCGTTTGTATAAAAATACTGCTAAAGTACTACTCTATCGTGGCGTTTTATATAAAAACGCCACTAAAGTACGAGTCTATAGCGGCTTTTGTATAAAAACGCCGCTAAAGTTACCATTTTGTGGCGTTTGAAATGTAAACGCCGCTATATGTTTAAAGTTAGTGGCGTTTACTCTTAAAACGCCACTAAAAACGCCGCTGTAGAATAGTTTTGTTGTAGTGCCTATTCATTTACATGCATATGTTATGTTTATAATGAGTACATGCCTAACTTGTACATGATTTAATACGATATGATATATGATGTATGTGAACATAAGAGAACAAATCTAAGTTATATGTTATAAGATAAGTGATTTTATATGTACATGTGAAATATGAGATGTGGTTACATGAGAAATGATAGAAGAGATATGAATATATGAAACATATCAATATTTAAGCCCATGTTATGTGATATGAGAGCTGTAGGTATAATTGGCATGCCAAGAGTCGAGGGTTCTATGTGGTCCTTCGGGATATATATGTAATCCTTTGGAACATATATACGGTTCTTCGGGACACATATTTAGTCCTTTGGAATATGTATGGGATCCTTAAGGAGTGGTCATTCGGGACATCTCTACGTGGTCATTCGGCATAAAATTCTATGTGCCCCTAGTGGGAATTTATACGAGCTGTGGTGACAACATATGTGCACAACCTCAATATACTCACATACCTCAGGTTCTCAGTAATGTACATGGGCTTACAAAAGATATAAACATAATTAAACACCTTATAAGATGATACATATTATTTGTACATTCCATGATTATGTAGGTTATGGTGGAGCAAATTTATGGAGAATGCAATTTCATGTTGGAATTATAGGATTGCATGTTTATATTATGCCTCATTAAGTATTTTAAGACGATCAGAGTTGAAGTCTAGGAAGGCATCATCTCTTTTGAAGACGATCAGATCAGAAGTGATTTAAACAATATGTTATTTTGTTATAGTAATTATGTTGGCTTGTAATCAAAGTTTAAATCATATATGCTCTGATCGATTTTTTAATTATTTTAATGGTATTCATGTAAATTATTTAACTGTTGTTTTAATAAAAATTTAAATTTTCTGAGATTTTGTAAAAGTAAACATTTTAAAAAGTCAATGTGACACCTCGATTCGTACTTGGGTCGGGTACGGATTGGGGTTGTTACTACTAAAATCTCAAAAAATGGGTATGGTTTGAGCCACATCAGATTATTCGATATTATTGACGTTTATAACATCTTTTATAGTCTTTGAACAATTTTTTTAATGTTATATACTTCTCAATAGAGTGCTGATATCTCTTGCATGGTATTTATATTGAATACTTGTATTATATTATTTTGGGTACGATGGTTGTATAAGTTCCAAATAATACTAGTGTCACACCTCAATTTTGGATTAAAATTTTTCTTTATGCAATTTAAGACTAAAATTTTAATTTTTAGAAATTTGGGAATTATCATGTCAATTTGTGAATGTTACAATGGACTAAATTAAGAAGTATTAAAGTTAAAATTTAAAATGAAATTATGAAAATTGAGGACTAATATGAATTCAGATAAAATCTTGGAGTAAAAAGGCTAATTCTATGTAATTTGCCCAATATTTTTTTGAAAGGCATGTACATGATGAAAGATTTGGTTATTGGACGTGAGCTCTCGAACCTATGAGCACAAGGATGAAGACCTGCATGATTTACTACCTGTGTTTTATGACCTTTAAGTTATAAAGTGCCATGGGTTATTTTTAACTTATTTATGGAATAAAATGACTTAATGTGGAATATATAAACCTTATTTTTCTATTGAGGGGCTTTCTATCTTCAAAACATTTTTACCAAATTTCTTTTTCTCTCTCAAAGGGGTCTTTTCTTGTTGCCTTCATCTCGTTGTCGTCTAGTTATTCATGGCTTCCACCGTCGGCACAATTGTGCTCCCCTCATCATTTTGATTCAGTTGATACAACTGTATCCATCATCGCCAATTTTATGTTTGGGGTTGAGGAACTTTTTAATGGTTCGTAGTTGCCTTTCTACCATTCTTCGTCGTAAGATAAGCCTAGTAAGTGGTTTAAAATCCAATGATCATCAAATCTATAATTTTTCATATTTTTCCAAAGATTATGGCCATTGTACATGTTTTCCATATGCTTGGGGTTTTTCAACCACTCGGGGAGTCCTTTAAAATTAGGCGAACCTGACCCAACCCATACCCTAACCAATGCCTTAGGGATCCAGTCCAATCAATATGGTCTAAACCTAACTGGTCTAGACCAAACCAAATCGTCTTGATCCAAATCAAACTAGACTAATTCAATCTAAATCGACCTGAATTAGTACTGTCGAATTGGTTCAACTTGAACCGTTAATCACTGACTGACATTGACCATTGACTTTGATCAACACTGACTGTTCAACGCTGACTGTTCACTTTAATTGACATTAACTTTTTTGAAGACCTCTAAGTTTATGTTTTTCAACGTCCTGAGTTTGATTTTACAATCTGTTTCGTCAAATTCTAACATAAAAACCCTGAAACAAGCTTCTTAATATGTTATTTATCCTATGACTTTAGTATTTTATTCTGTGTAATAGACTTTGAATATGGAATTGATTCAAAATTTACATTTATATTTATATTTATAATTATGAAGGTACACATGCTTTATCTAATTGAGTATTGACCATATCCAACATCTTTCGTTTAGTAGATCCATCTGATCCCAAAACTCAGCAGATATACATATATCTTTGTAGAATTTTCAAGATTTAATTTAGGATTAGTTTTCATCAGGATAATAATATATTCTATGTGATACTTAGGTCTTAGCATCATGTTAATTTTAATAGTCAGATCTGTTGGGATTGTAGATGAAGCTCAATGATCAACCGAAAGAATTTTCCAAGAGGGGTTGAAGTGGATATGAGAAAAAATTAGGATTAAAGAGATTTAAGGAATAAGAAAAATGATGCACAAGGATTTATAGTGGTTCGACTTCTCAACCAAGTCTACAACTACTACCTTAGCTCCTGACTAAGGATTTTCTAAAAAAATTACTAATTTGTTCTTTCTTTTTCATAGGATAAAGAGATAACCTTTACAAATCCCTATCTTTTTAATGGCTAAGATAGAACCACTCCCTTTTTACAAAGATAAAAAGATATAAACAAAAACCCTTACAAGGTAGGTGTTTACAAAATTAAGCTCACTAAAACATTAATATTTACAAGATAAAGTAAAATAAGAATGAAAATATAACATCCCAAACAACGGGTTTGTGACCAAATTGTAAAATTTTAGAATGTAGTGACCAAATTAGATAAATGGAAAAGTTCAGGACTTAATTAGAATATTTTTATATAGAACTGTTTAGCAAAGAAGAATGAATGTAAGGGCAAACTAGTCATTTGACAAGTAAAATAATTAATAATTGGTTATGGTTATATTATAACCACGTGGAGATTGAGGAAGGTAAAAATCAAGATTTTAGAGCTTTCTTTCTCCTTTAGTCGTGAACCCCATTTGGAAAAGGTGAGTGTTATGTTTGTTGATTATTTATTAAAATTAAGTTTGGTTTTTGTTCTTTAGGTAATACTTAAGCTTAAGGAAAGCTTAAGTTGTCTTAAAAGTAAAAGATGAGGAAGTTAAGAAGGATTTAATATAAGAGGGTTCTAATTGAAATTGTGGAAAGGAGTTAGTAAGTAAAGTTTGAGACTAAATTTAACTTGTCATCAGTTAGAATAAGAAATATAAAGTGTTAAAAATGAAATTAGAACATGTTGGAAATTTTGCAAGGTTCTTGGTTTCAAGATTTATGATGAAATATTGAAGATGATGATGTGTTATATGAATATAAGATGGTTTGAGTAAGTTTAGTTAAGTTTAGTGGCATGAAATAAGTTCAAAATGGAAAGTATAAGTAAGTATTGGTGAATTTTTGAGTTAAAAAGATGAATTTTGGGAAGGGGTATCGATATTGTTCATACAGTACCGATATTTCAAAGAGAAAATGGTGATATTTAGGGTGAGGGTATCGATATTGTATGAACAGTATCGATACCATAAGCCAAAGTATGATAAGTTATTAAAGGAGTATCGATACCTAAGGGGTAGTATCGATACCTATGGTACCGATACCCTTAGGAAAGTATCGATACCATTTTTGAAATAAAATCCTAGTATTGGGAAAGGGAATCGATACCAAAGCACAATATCGATACTACAGTAAAGGAAGTGTCGGTACTATGCCTTGGGTGCCGATACTACTCAAAGTGGAAATTTAAATTAAGTAATTCTTTTAGCTTAGGTTATTGTTGATCGATTCATAAGGATTAGAATTCAAATACCGTATCGAATGTACATTTTT